AGAACCTACCACTTTAAGGACTCATACCAAAAAAATCATAATAAGGAAACCTGAAAAGGTAGGTTCTTTGGGGTCCAGGTGTGCCCCCTAAGCCTGTTTTGAAAAAGCTAGACCCCATACCCTAAATCCTGAACCTGCACACGGCTCTGCCCTTTGCAAATCCTACCTCCCGAGCATAGGTAAACCCACTCCCTCAACCCCTAAACGCCGAAGAACCCTAAAGCTGAAGAGCCCTAAAGCCGAAGCTGTAAGCTGCACGGTACGCGGCACGCGCTTGGCGACGGCGCATTTGCATGATTGGGCCGGCTCTCAACCTTTTCAGCTGGACTTCAGATGCGCTGGCGTGCGTGTTCTGGTGTGGCAAGTTGCGCAGAGGCTAGGGGGCAAGACCCAAAACCCTAAACCTTCAGGTAGTTACAGAAATTTAAATTTGGTCTCTCGCTCTAAGACCGGCATCCCGAAACTATAAGGGTTAGCCCGCCAGAATTGAGGTCGGGCGGCTTGAACAGAGCTCCAACATGACGGTTTAAGGTTTTTGGGGTTTATAGGGCTTAGGGCTTCTGGGGTTTAGGGCTCGGGGTATCTCCTCCATGACCAGCAAAGAGAGGCCTAGACTGGTCCTCTGAGGCTTCCGCGAGGGATCTGAGGCATCTCAGGCAGAAAGTCTCTCAGAGCTCCATCTTCTACTGAACTATCGGTCCCGCTGAAGAGAAGCCAACCTGGCAAGCCAGGCCAGTCCCAGATCGGAGCACAAGGTCTGAGGTTGAATCCGGGACTCTGGTGACGAAAGTAGGTCGCAGGCCTCAGGGTCTAGCGTTTCCCGGGAAAGTAGCTCTATAAACCCTAAACCCTAAGCCCTAAAAGGGAAAGCAGCTCTATAAACCCTATAAACCCTGAAAGGGAAAGCAGCCCTAGAATTCCTAAAGCTTGAAGCCTTTTGGGGTGTAGGCCTATAGGGCCTTGACGGACCAGGGGTGATGCAGCCCCCAGCTCGTTTCAGCTGTCGGACTTAACCCTGCGCCTTTGCTTCCCGGCTTGCATGAAAACTTAGGGTTTATAGGGTTCAGGGTTTAGGAAAACTTAGGCGACTTGGGGTGTTTCAAAGGTTTCAAAACAAGGTTGCAGGCACCGCGAGAGGTCAGCATACTGCGCCAAGCGCATGAAGTTCTCAAAGTGAGGCTGCCGGAGGACAGGCTTGCCAGCATCCGAACCAGGTTCCAGGCAGGGACGGCATGGACGAGCAGAAACCCCGTGCTCTGCAAGCTACGCCTAGCGGTTCGCCGATGCGAGAAGTAAATCCAAACGCCTGAGACGACCCAGTGCCTCAACATATGGGCAGTTCTCAAAATTAGGGTGCCCTTTTCGGTCCCCCATACGGCACCCTTATAACTTATAAAAAGGAGCCCAAAAGGGACCCTAATTTAGAGAACTCCCCATATCTCTTCCAATGGTGCTTTTGCCCACGCAGCGAAGCTCACCGCCTAACGCACCGTCCACTGCCCGCCCTATAAAGACCGGGTCTTGTGAAGGGAGCGATCCTTGGGCAATGGGGCGCCTGGCGTCCCCTACAGTTGGCAGTCCTTTCAAGGGCCTGACTGCTGTCATGTCTTCTGAGTGCAGGGCGCTGCCGAAATTGCAGACATGGGGGAGGAGTTTGCAGATAACCGATTTGACAGGGAATCGGCTTCGTTAGGGCGGGTGCTGCTTAATTTACTGTACACGGTATGAGCTGTGGCATCCAGCAGGCACCTCCGCCCGACTGCTTTGGGCGGCCGTCTACATCAATCGATTCTGAAAACGCCCTAAACCCTAAACTCTAAACCCAAAAAACCCTAAAGCCCAGAGCCTCTTGTTTCTTGAAGCCTGTGGGCCTACAGCCTCCTAGACCCAAATCTTGTGCAGCTTGATGCAGGCAAAGCCGTGCAAAAATGCGGAGACTCCAGATGAAACTAAAAAGCAGTAGCTTCGGAAGGGTAGGGTTTGTAGGGAGTTTAGGGCTTAGGGTTTAGGCTTGAGGGTTTAGGGTTTAGGGTAGTCTTGTTCCTAGCATGCTTTGTCTTTCGCTCCAAGTCTTCCTGCAGACTCTCCTCGGAGAGTTAGGAGCTCTGATGGCATCCACTGCCTTTCTGTCCCTCCAGCGGTATCACTGCATCCCTCCATCTTGGGTTCTCACTGCTTCGCAGTCAACTCCACGGATTCCCGGCCTCCGCAAAGCTCAGAGTTGCTCGATGCTGGCCGCCCGCAGTCAGTCCGCGCATGTCCGAGCACCACCAAAAGGGCTTTCTACGCGGCCCGCGCAGCCTGGGAATCGATCCCCTCCGAAGCAGGAGCCCAGCAAAGCGGTCCACCGTCTTGGTCTGCAGGATGCGGCATTGTCCCATCTCTCGGATGGATTCCGTGTCATGGTATGAAGTGCGTGTGTAGCACCTTGAGTCACCAAAGTCTTCAAAGCTCCTACAAGCAACCTATACCCTAAAACCCTAAACCTTAAACCCTAAACCCCAAACATCTTCCTCAAGCAACTTCTAGCCAAGATCGAGTGAAGGCCTGGGGGGGCCAGCAGCAAGGCGAATTCCGCCGAGTTTAGACCTCTGCACAGCTCCAGGCCCTCGTTTATTAAGTCCCCGGCCGGGAAGAAGAAAAGGCGAACGTCCAAGAACTAAAACCCTAAACCCTAAGGAAACGCCCTGAAATCCTGAAGCCCAGAGTCTAAAAAACCCTTAAACCTTGAGCCCACAACCCCGGACCCTACTAAGCCCTCTTGAAAACGGGCTGAGGCTCAGGTGCCCAGAGCCTCGATGGTAGACGCCCTGAGCTTCAACCGCTTGGGAGCCTTCGATCTCTGGCCCTGTTGAGCCGTGTCTCGTGAGACACTGCAGCCGAAGATGCTCGAGGAGGTGAGGCGGATAAGCCGGGTTTCGGGTTTCCGAGGCAATGCAGACCTTCTTGCCCTGTTTATCCTAGACTGGCCGTCCATTCGCCGAACGAGCCTCGCCTTGTGGGCCTTGTGCATACTCCTACCCCTGAATCCTAAACCCTAAACCCTAAACCCTAGACCCTACCCCTGAATCGGGCTCAGATTGTCCATGGATTAGGGCTTCAGAGCTTAGCTTATGGGCTGAAGGGTTTAGGTCGTTTGGGGTTCGGTCTAGGCCGGTGATAAAAATTTACATACAACATACCATGGACCCCCAAAGCCACTCTTCGAATCATGAAGGTCCGGTATACTACCTCTTGTGTCTCAAGGCTCCGGCCATCCAAAGAAAAGCTGATTTCAAGTTCGTGACCCAGGACTTTGCTTTCTGGCTCCGGCCAGCGAAAGGGGAAGTGTTTTGGCGACATGGGTCCATGAGACAGGTGAGCTCCGGCTTGTGGCATCGAAAGGTTAGACCCCCGCGCCCAGGTTTTACCTCATGGGACACTCGGATACGAGCAAGGTCTCGGCAAGCCTCGGGCCGCATCCCGCTGCTGCAGCAAAATTGCCATGCTGGGCGCTGAAATATGTGAGGTTAGGAAGCCCTAAACCCTAAACCCTAAACCAAAAGCTTATTTTTCGTGATGAACCGTAAGCCGCTTGCAAAGCCAAAGCTGACACACATTGTAACCCTAGCTGAATATTCCTGAAGTCTGAGCCTTGATTCAAGAAGAAGCACCAAGAGTTCAGCCCAATTATGAAAGACACGCCCAGCAACTCTGG